AATGAGGCTTTTATATTCTGTCTTGACAACATTCCAGCAGGACAAGTCCACACAAAGGGTAGCAGATGAGGTCTTGGGACTTGGTCAGTGTAAGGGCATTGAGTCAGATTGCCATCAGTTGCTAAATGTGCCATTTTCTACTGTTAAGCACCCTTGCCCAGACTATCATACTGCTGCTTCTCCATCGATTGTGTTTTACCCAACAATTACCATGTGCTCACAGGTACGCAGCAGCACGCGCTGACGCCCATCAGTATGGTCTGCACAAAATCATGATGCTCTCTTGATGAGCTTGATGATTGGTTCCTTTCTTTGTTTTGCTCGTCTCATGGAATGGAATCGCTCGAGTGTGTCGTAGTCGGTTATGAATGAAAGATTAATCAAACTGGTACTAAAAACATGACATGAAAAACATGCATAGTGATGTTTCTTGTGATGCTTAGTGAATATTCATTGCCTCGCATGCATACGTTAGCTTCAGTATTCATTTTAGTGCCGTGGAACAAGTGTAAATGCACATATTTATGTATTTCCTTATTTTGTGTTTTGAGTTTAATGAATTTGAGCTTTTCTTCTGTCCTCAATGTAATGTTTATCTGATATTCTGCAGGATAAAGTCTAAGGTATGAGTATTCAGTCCAGACCAATACATCACTCTCCTGTTGAAAAGTAGTTTGATTCATAACAGAAATGACTGTTCTTAAACCATTAGGTTATATAACAGAACCCTTCCAGCTGCAGTAGGAGAGTGTTGTTTTGAAGAGAGCAGTTCCAACTAGGCTTTATGAACTTTAGATGAGGTGCCGGATTAAAATACCAGTAGTTTTTATAGGCTTTTAAGGTGTTGTTTTTAGATGATTGTACAATCCTTGGCTTACAAATGCTTTTGATCAGCATGTTGTGAATTCCCTGTCATTGTACGTCCCTGACTGCCCAGATCTTGATTGTTCTTTTAACCCCAAGATCAATGGCTGTAACTTTTTTCCCCTTTGTTATTGCCAATTTCTGTGGGATTTTCTCTAATGTACAGTATTGAGTACCTTCGAGCCCTGTACCTCAAAGCTCAATACTTTCTGGAGTGACCATGTGATGTATGTTCTGGGATGACAGCCTTGAGGTTAGAGATCCATCTTGCAGTGCCATCTTGCTGTTTTTCTTTCCCCAGGTTTCTTACTACTTTTTATTGATGGGCTGTTAAAGATGTTGGGGACTCTATATAACTTTCCATTTGCCTTCCTCTTCCTTCACCCTGACCACAGTATTAGTTTTTTTTTTTTTCTGGGGTGCGTTGAGCACATGTACAACAGCAATAACAAAAACCTATTACCAGTATAACTTACGTAATTTGTATTTTTTGTCATTGGTTAAAACATAGCAGGGTCAGATATGATAGTTGGGATAGGTGTAAGCCTTATGCCTAACCTTCGTCTTAATAAGCCCCCAGACCAATGTGTCATGTGGGGATTAAATTATTTCCAGATTGCTCTGGTATAATTGTCGATATGCCATAATTAAGACTGCATGAAGGTGCTGTAACAGGTCAGAAAGGGGAAATGTATTAGTATGTTACTGTTTCAAGACTTTGCAAAGCAATTGACCAGCCAGGAAGCACAGAAAGACAGACTAACAGACACTTCTCTTAAACCTTTGCAAGGGAGTTAGGGCATTCTGCGGAGGCTTCTGCACTCTCTAACCTCCCTCTAATGCAACTGCAGTAGTTAAGCACAATAGGAGAATGGATCGCTGCCAAGCTCCTGTGCCAGGAAGCACAAACTGTGACTGCCTGATAAGATCAGTGCAGTGATTTTTTTTCAAAGCTCAAGAGATTGCTGCTCAAATCCTGGGGCTTCGTAGACTTGTGTTCCCGACTGATTTGCTGCCACTAGCTTATTAGCACCTTTGCTGAAGTTGCATTTTCCTCACTATTCTAGGTACTTCGGCTTCTCCATAAAATGCAGCCACTAGTGTTAATAATACTTAAGGATCAACATGTAAAAGTGAAGAATATTTTCAAGTATTGCCTTGATTAATCAGCAGGGTGCACACACACACTCGTGCCAGGGCCATCTTTCCCAGAAGCCAGTTTACCTAACAGTCTGTCTGTGGATTAAAGGGGGAAAACCATGCAAACTCCCCACAGGTAGCACCCCAGCAATTGAACTCGGGGCCCCAGTGCTGCTAGTTCTCATTCTCCCCAATGTAAGAGGGCTGTAGAAGTGTAGAGACAGCATTCAGAAATGACCACGAATGTTCTGTTAAAGCTCAGCTCTTAGGATTTCTTTGCATTTTAAAGAGCTCTGTTTATTTGAACTTAACATTACATTATTAGTTGGTTACAAAAGCATTTTTTATAGGTGTTGTAATGAAATGAGTATTAGATCCAGTAGCACAGATAGCACTTTGTGGTGTTACCAGTTACCAATATTTATTGAATGAATTAATTAAATGAATTTTAGATGCAGTAGCACTTTGTGGGGTTACCAGTTGTGGTAAGAGAAGTTTATTCCTAAGAAGCCTATATTATTTTTGCAAAGGAATAGAAATTTTTCTGCTCTTGCAAGAAAAACGCTTCAAATCAAGTATCAGTATAAAACAGATGGACAAGGCAGTTAAAAGAAAAGAATGACTGGAAATAAATCCCAGCAGCCCTGTGCCTATCAGCAGGCTAATCAAATTGCTTAACTCACTGGGGGCTGGTGCTGCTGGTGGGGACACCCTGTGCCTTTTGTTCCAGTGGAGCTTTTGTTTCATAATTGAGTTTTTTATTGATCTGTTTGCTTATTTAGGCCATAATTAGAGGTTTTCAGCATTTTAAAAGGTTTGAGGAGGTCAGGAAACAGGTACTTCATATGCAATGGCTGGGATTCAGGTTTGCCTTTTAAGTGTTTTTTGAAGGAGCAGGTGTCTGGTAATTTGATGGACCTGCGCAGCACTTGGACTGCTTAGCTATTATGTGAGCTTGCTATATGCATCAGATGGTGACTGCGATTAGGTATCTTTAAGAGAGTGGCATCTCATTAAAAATGTCAGGTCAGATCTTTCCGAATTTTTTTCGAATTTCTTGACACTGTGCATACTATTTCTGAAAACCAAGAACTGAGTACAGAAAAGTTGAACGGTATGTTCTCTCCATCCTCTTCAGTGTTCCACATTATCACATCAGAGTCTCTTACTCTGAAAATTCTTTTCAACAGGGTGAGCACCCGGTATATTTTCAGTCACTTTGTCATCTGTTTTGATGGCACCAAATGACACAGAACTGACATTTGCGGAATGTAAACCTCTTAGAGGGGAATTTGACGCAAGGTAATTGATACCCGACGAGCAATAATTTTGTTCTTTTGTGCCTACTAAGCCTAGTAATCCAGAAAGCACAAACCACTTGAGAGTGACACAAGGTTTTAGTCATGTATTCTCTGTTTAAATTATCATGAATGTATTTACAGTAACAGGTGTC